CTTCGAGAGGGATTTGCTTGAGGGTTGCCACTACCAACCTCAAAGAATGGTTTTGATGATGATGACAATGATGATTACTGTATTATTGTTATTTATTTATTATCATTAAGATGATAGTGATAGTGATAGTGATGATGATGACGATCATCATCATCATCATCATCATCATCACCATAAGGTAATCATTACCTGGACCTTATTATTACCTTACACAATCAAACAGTAAGTCTTCTTTGATTGCCTTCGATTGATCATCTTCCTGCAGTGAGCCTCCAGCGCCGCCAGCACCGCCCGCAGGTCCATGTCGGCGACCGGTGTGCAGCAGTTTGGGCTGATGAAACCTCCGTGCAATATGTCGGCAATACACTGTTTCCGCTGCACTTGGCACTTTTCTTCTAGCATCATGCGCGAAGATGGCAACCAGCGCACCTGGGCGCACCTGTTGCTACATTGGATAATTATGTTTTCATTTCCGCCTTGATCAGCTAAACAAGATGTGTGCTATGCTCCTTGATCCACAGCGCCCATGTGTTGACAGGAAGGATCATCCGAATTGGGTCGCCACTGCGGCCCACGGTGGTGAGCGGTTGCGTGCGCAGACTGCCAAGCTGCGGAAAAAAACAGAGAACGAAGCAAGCAGGGGCAACCGAAGCTCTTCGATGGCACATGCCATCGTCATCCGTATCAACGGAGCATGGATCCAATGGGCACGGCTCAACCAAAGGATAGAGAGTTCAATGCTGCAACATGTGATTACACTCCCTGAAACAATCATGAAAGTGGACAGTGGCCCCTTGGAAGACTATTTTCCTCTACCAAGAGGGGGTTGTCCACTTCCATGATTGTTGCACGGAGGGTAATAAATTTAAGGAGTGTCTCAAAGAATTGCTTGCCCTGGCCTGCCTGGGAGTTGTCTCAACAAGAAATATGGACAGCTTTTTGACTAGCTGCTTAGCTTTAATGCTGAGTTTTTTTCATCACATTCATGCGTTAAGCCACCTGTCCATACCTGTCCTGTCTGGGGGTTGTCCTGTCGTGGCTGGTGGCAGCTGGTTCAGAGAGGCCTTCACCGCTTCCTTGGGGACCCTTCGCCGCTCACGGTGCTGCCGGGGGTAGGAAATATGCACATTGGAATGTGACCATATACATCATATACCATATTTGATATATATATATATATTATATATATATATATATATATCTGTGTGTGTGTTTGACATGTTTAACACTTTTATAAAGGTTTTTGCGGGGAAAACCCAGGTCTTTGGTGGTTTGTGGGGCCCCTGCATGGAGCTCATCTTACCAATCCCCCTTTTGGCGAGGTGCATGACCGACGCAGAGCCCGCACCTGACTTTGGATTTTGGTTGTGGGCCAGAACCCTGGTTCTATGTGGGTTCTATGTGGGTTCGCCTTTGGAACCACTGGTCGCCAAGGAGTCCAAAAGCAACTGATCCCATTGATCTCCCCGAGTGGGATTTCTCCCGAACTCACTTCCTGCAGTCCAGAGTGGTGCACTCCTGCCGCGGTGCAGGTGCTCTCCGCCGCTCAGGCCAGATGCCATGCGCCACACCGGCGATGTTTTGTTGAGCAATAAAGGTTGCGTAGAGGCGGATCGCTTGTAGATGTCGCTACTGCATCAGTCCAACAAAGAATTTACGTATCAACGTGTTTGTAAAGGTTACTACGGCCTGCAGCAGCAGCATCATCATCGTCGTCGTCGTCGTCGTCGTCGTGGTTGTCGTTGTTGTCGTCGTCATTGTGATGTTCATCCTCATCCGTTTCGTTTTCATCGTCATCATCGCACACTCTTACTGCGATTAGCCTGGACACGCAACCCGGCTGGCCATTCGTGAACATAGCTGCATGTGTTGAGAACTACGGTTTCTATGTATGTATGTATATATACACGGCAGGAAGTCGCTGTTTGAACATGAGTATCGTTGTGCATGGGTGAACAAATTGTCTCCTGGTTATATTCAATTCTCATTCATATTCACATGGACTATTGCATCTCAATGTTTGCTGTGCAAACACGAAATGCCCAACTCACTTATGTTTTTTGTTTTTACTGTTTTTTTGGTGTTGGTAAGCAACGATAAGATAGCAACATCCAGGGGCAAAAGTTTGCCGGCAATTCTGGAATTTATTGAAAGGAGTAGGCCGAGTAGGCCTGAGGAGCACATACAATCACATGATGCATAAATCTGAATAATTCTCTGTAGCCTTTGGCACATGGGTCGCTGGGCATTCCCGCACTGGGTCGCTGACCCAGCCAGGTATTGGTCGCGAGTGGCGGCCTCAAAACAGGACAGCAAGTCCCACACCTTTTGGGCAAAACCGGGTCAATGCATTGGAAGTCGTGCCGGCTTACTCACAGTGAACACAATTGAGGAACTTCTAGTAATTTGTTGGTGTCGTTTTTCAATGAGACCGTGCATTAACAGCAGGTCCGTTGTTGAACTGTTACTGGGGGTGGGAGATTTCTAATCAATGCATGTCAATGGTGGGATGCTCTCCACTGCAGGTTGCACAGGATGTTTTTCCTTTTTCTAGCTGATATTGAAGCTGAATGAACAATCATGCACCACTTGGGTTGCGGAAAAACTGAAAAAGACTCCCCCGGCGTTTTTTTTCTGTATACAACCTCACCGGATCGCTAGCATCGGATGGCTACAATACGCGGTGGGATTCGCCAGATTGACAAGTGAGCAATTAAACGGGTATGGACCAAGCATCGGGCGCCATGCGAATCCACGGGTGGAAGGACACATCGTTTAGTCAAAGATTTTTTTCGTTCCTGGATTTGGTGGACATACAACGTGTCCTACACGTTAGCACGAAGGAATCAAGAAAGAGAGACAAGGTTTTACTATAGCAGAGTCTGGATATTTTTGGTACCATTTCGCACTTGCTGTTTCGAAAGCTATTGGCAACCTGCAAGGTCTCGGATACAGTGTTCGCAACATCATGAGCGGAGTGCTTGGGTCATTGCCGCAGTTCTATTCCTGTTAGCTGGCAGGCAGTTTTTCAGACCATTTCAGACATGCAACCACACTGGGTGACCTGGGTGCATGCGGCAAACATCCGCAAACTCATCAAAGGTGTGAAGGGGTAGAGTCGGGTAGAGACGCATGCAGGGCTGACACTTGACTTCGCGAATCAAACAAAGTAGGGTGGGGCACCTCCAGGACCGAAACGTGGTTTGGTGCAGATCTCACCATAACCCACCCAGGACCTGGAATCACATTTTTGAGCGACCAAAAACATGGAAGCTTCCCCTCAGCACACTAAAGGCAAAGAAGGCTCGGTGGCCAGTGGCCAGATGTGTTTGTTTTGCATGAGGGAAGGTGCTGCAGCAGTTTTTTGTTTGTGGTTCTGTGGTTTCATGATGACATGGAGCAACGTGAAGTGAGACTGAGCTATGCCGAAGCTCAGTCCTGCCCATGCCACGCGTGTGCTGCGGCGACAAGGTGCCAAAGCGGTGACAAGCTTGCAAGAGACTTGGCTCAAATCGGGGCTGCAAACCCGATTTGCCCGAGCATGTTGGTTTCAGACGTTTATTGAAGAGGCCGAGCTTTCCGTGTTGATTTCGAAGGGTTTTTGGCGGCCGCACTCACCGGCAATGACAAGTGATGGGCTACCTAGCTGCGGATGCACAGCATCTCAAGTTTGGGCATCGGCCACCAATCATCAACATTCCACTTGATTCACCCAGGAGATGATCAGCCAACATTTGGAGGCTGGGCAACACCTGCTGACTCAAGTGACTGGGCAGGCTTTGAGCCTTGTCAGGAACGGTTGTTGCCCAGCAAGAGGACCAAATACAATGATTGGACGGTTCGTGGACTGACTGTGGTGTCATTCTATGCATCGATGTAAGGAACCTGCTTAAGTACAACAAGAGAGGATACTATAGGACCGCCGAACCGTAACCTGCTGAGTAGTGAAGACGGAGGCAAATGTGCTGCACTTCAATGCAAGCTTGGCCGCCCTGGGGCAAGCTGGAGACTGGCAAGCAGCTATGCACTGCCTCGGGTTGATGGAATCCTTCCAAGTGAAAAAGGACAGCGATGCTGCTCGGGTGGGGCTCGAATATAGTTCGGCTCAGCCTTTCGCCAAGCAGACAAGAACTACCCACAAACGCAGGGAGGACTCTACGTCATGCCTCACATCAACGCAGTGGACCCAAACCCACCCTAAATTTGTGCAATGTCATGGGCCCTCCATCAAGGAATAATTTGCTGGGGGTCCCTGTGCCAGGGGGGTGGGGGTCACCTCAGATTAATAGTCATAACTAACCTCGACACTAAGGAATAATTTGAACATGAGATGTACCAGTGACCATGAAATAATTGTGCCAGAGATGTGCCAGTTACCATGGAATAATTTTTACAAAGACTGGCCACGAGCTGCGTTGTGCCTGAGATGTGTGTGTATCCACGAGAGATACTGGCTCAATCAATCACACTTCAATTATGTATACATGAAGAAAAGGCCTTGACCTCCACCTCACTCAGGTTTCATGTGCACAGGTAACATCAGGTAACACATCCTGTCAGGAGTGCATAGATCAAACTGCTTTGACTACAAGGCTCAGGTATATTTACACTTTCCAGGTCGACATCACTCACATCGACTCTGAGTTAATTATTCCTGGGTACCTGGAGGTGGCAAGGACCCAGGAATAGTAGTTCTTTTGCTTGGAGAGATGGGTGGGGCAGACGGACCTCCACCTCACTCAGGTTTCATGTATACAGGTAACACATCCTGTCAGGAGTGCATAGATCAAACTGCTTTGAGTGCAAGGCTCAAGTATAATATTCACACTTTCCAGGTCCACATCACTCGCATCGACTGCGAGTTAATTATTCCTGGGTACATGGAGGTGGCAGGCACCCAGGAATAATTAGTATTGAGACCACATGGTGGAAAGGAAGGTGTTTCCAACAACTTCCAACAATCACTTTCAACATTTTCTAGAAACTTCCAACATCCACTTCCAACATCTCTTCAACAACTTCCAACAACAACTTCCAACATCCGAATTTACACTCGACAGCTGAAATTATTCCTCCTTTACCCCAGTACCCTGGAATATGTACCCCTACCCCAGAATAAATGTTTATTATTCCAGGGTGACACCAACGTGGTCACTTTGTAAGGGAGCCCCCATGCAGTGTCTTTTGTTGGTGTGGGCAATCCCAAGAAGGATTTGCCATGTTCGGTGTTGTTTTTTGGCCGTTGAGAGCGAGGTGAAACCAATACTTGTTCTCCTACTTGTTTGCGCAGCGACAAGTATCAGACAACAAGTATCAGACACCGTAACGGCTCGGTTTGATGGAACAGACTTCAAAAGCAAAGCAGGCTGCAGTAGTCTAAGACTTGTTTTTGGTACCAATTTCGCATGTCAAGGACACCTTCACATACAACACCTCAATGACGCATCTCAGCTGCCAGACAGTTGGTTTTGATGTTTGGTTGAACCTGGACCTACTGTGGATCTATACCTGACTGTAGTCCAATTTCAAGACTAGTTTGTGGGGGCTCCCGTTCCCAAGGCTTTGTACGAGGGCATCTCAGTTGAAGAAATCCTTGGCGCTCTACCGGGAGATGAGCTTTTCGGAGGTGCACAAGGACCGCTACACCTATAGTGCAACAATTAAAGTCTGTGAGCAAATGAGGCAGTGGCCCTTGGCCTTATGTGCCTTGTCTCATCGATCAATTTGTCCGGTCAGGTGCAGCCGGAAAACCCGAAACGTCGCCTATTGATGCCGCCCTCCAGGGGCCAGGGGGTCTTGAAAATATGCCTCGTGCCTTGTGCTTTCATTCAGGGCTATTTCAGAAAGCTGGATCCCTCCTTTTTAGCATTCCCCTGCACATTGACTCCAAAGATAAGAAAACGCAACCTCACCCTTCTATGTTTTCCAGTTTACTTTTCGACACTTCAGTCGCTCCCCGCAACCTCCCGGTTCCCAGTGTCAATCGCGCACCGTCCCGGACTTGTTCCCACTGTTCCTCTCGCGCACCGTCCCCACGCGTCCGAGGTTTGATGGACGACATGCGGCTCCGTAGCGTCAGCCGAGACTTGGGACGCGACTCGAAACGACCCGTCGACGGGGCGACCGAAGAGACGACCGGTCAACGACGTGAGACGACGAATCCAACCGTCCGGGACCTGATCAGTCCGTTCTAGCGACAAAAAGGGAGAGATGCAAGAATGATGCTCCATAAACGCACCAGCAACATGCATTACAGTAGATTGTAGGATTCTAGTCATATGAGCAAGAACAGGTCAACTATAGGACATTCCCAAAAACGCCAGCCTTGCAGCCAATCTTGTTTATCCTTCCTTCTTTTGATTGGACCAACGTCATGGGACTAGATCCAACACCCACCCGGGGCCATCCAAGGAGATGAAATCATTTACAATGCATTCATTTCCTGCGCGCGGGAGCGATGGGACGTTGCCTTGGAGTTTTTTGATGGCATGAGCAAGAGGAAACTCAGGAGTGAGTTGGGGAGAGCGGCGGTTCGGGCCTACATGCTGAAACTGTTTGGGGTACCATCCGGCACCCGTGTGGGGGCAGTATTTGTGTAGAAGCGATCCTAGTATCAAGCGGGCAGCTCTCCATGCAGATCTTGGCTGACCATAAGGCAGTTATTTTGTTCAATCCCTTGTTCTCGTTTGCCGAGTGCAGATGAGAAACGCCACTCCGAGCCGAGCGACAGGAAGGATGTCGTCAGCTACAATTCTGCCATCAGCGCCCTGGAGCGGGGTGCACGTTGGCAAGAAGCCTTGGAACTGTTTCGGGCAGCTTGGACGAAGCTCTCTAAAGAAAAACACGTAAACACACAATACAGGTTATATATTATACAAGGAGGTTTGACATGGGTCATGGTATGTCAAGATCTTTGGCAGAGGACACATGTTCTTCCTCTCGGCAGAGTTTGGGTAGCCAGATTTTAGACCAGCTGTCAAAAGCCTTTTGTACATGGATAGGTTTGTAGGATGCGCAGCAACCAGACGCACCTAGGGCCAGCTAGGGGTTCAAGCCGGCAAGTTTTCCCTGGTTTCATCATACGTTTCATCATACCTCACTTACATACCAGTACCCCAGAAACGTGTCAGGTCTAGGAGCCTTGTTCGGTTCATGTCAAGCTTCCCAAGCCGCCCAGTAGCGTTTGAAACATGCCACAAGGATCTAAATGTCCAGGAGGTCCTGAAGACTAAGATCACCTACAGTTCGACGATTAGCGCTTTGGGAAAGGGCTACCAATGGGCCTTGGGCCTGCAACTCCTCGCAGAGATGCAAGGAGCTGTGTGGGCGGAAGATGATCTCATCGCGCGTTTTGGTAGGTGAAGACCCACTTGATGTAAGAGGACCCTCATACAAACAGATTTAGCATACATATATATAGATAGCATAGACTCCTTTTGCATACCCCGGAGTAGAGGCCATGTCCTCATGTTTGTTTCTTGCAAATGGCTCACATTTACGACACTGGCTTGCGGCTGCGAAACACCCATGCCCAGCATTTGCAGCATCTACGCGTGTGTCTTCGATATGTTTTTGTTTAATCGATGGAGAGGTGGAATCCATGACTCCATGACTCCATAGGTGCATCCATGACTCCATGACTCTGGAGTTCGAGGTTGGGGGATGTTTCGGCCCAGCACCCTTAAGCGGGGCTCACAGGAGCCCAGCTTCAGCACAGCATCGCTTGGAATGCGGCGATGAGTGCCTGCGAGAAGGGCGGGCAGTGGCATAGGGCCATTCACTTGCTGATGGCCTTGAAACCTAACGAGAGAGACACTTGGTTAGCTATGGTTAGCTATAGGTGTTGTTTTTGTTGTGATGATGTTTGCTGTTTGTTGGCAGCTGACAGGCTGAGAAGTGCGGCAGCGGATGCTGTACAATAGATGTTTTGCACATTCCTGAGGCCATCAATCCTTTTTTCATTATGACAACTCAAAGTCGATTTGGGTGCGACGCGACCGGCCAAAACGTTCCGCCACGGTTCGTCTTGATTTTTGGCGAATGCCAAAACGTGGACAAGATCCTTTTGCACCTCCTGCAGACTCAATTGACATCAATTGTAAATCCCTCGTTTTTGTTGAACAAACTGGACAACTGCTAGCATAGCCCTGCGACAGGGTACCAATGGCCGACCCGGCAATTGAATTGATTATGTCCAGCAGCCTGTTCGGTGGTTCTTGCTGCAGATCCATTCTGAAATTCAATGAATTAGTATAAATTACGAAGCGCTTTTCGGTAAAAGCCGCCACGGATGATGTGCAATCAGTGACTGATCAACTTGCAGGATCCAGGAGGTCTACGCTTCATGCGGTGCCGGGTTGGCGCCGGATGCTACAGAGTGGGCCCAGACGTGGAGAGGGCAAAGTGCGGCTTCCTCAACCTTCCAATATTTGGTCCTTAATGCTTATAACTTATATCTCTCTCTCTCTCTATATATTACATATATATAACACCCAGATTGACGCCCGACTGATCGCTTTCACCAGGGCGGCCATTTCAGGTGTCGTCTAGATCGAGAGGGCCCCTTCCATTGCACACCCATGGGACGATGCAGGTGTGTAGTGATTGTTTCCTGCATATTCATGCAGGCATGTGTTTCCTTGCGGCATCCCAGGATAACTATTCCTACAATATCGCGATGGCAGCCTGCGCAGGTGCGCGGAAATGGGTGGTGGCTGTCAGTTTGTTGCAGCTGATGATGGAGACGCCCCACCTGCAACCTGATTCTTTCTCATACTGCGCGGTCATCTCCGCATGTGGGCATGCTCGACACTGGGCTCGTGCACTCGAGTTCTTTCAAGCAGCCGAGCGAGGTCACCTGGCAGGCGGCATGGGCAAGCCTGCATCATATATATAAACTATAAACCACACTCTTATATACTCATGTAGACACGGACAGTAAGTTCTGCACAACGAGGGCGTCATAAGACGGACATACTCAAAAGCAGGACGTTCGATTTGCGTATATTTATATAAGCTTCTTCAGCAGCACCATTCAAAGGATGTTTATTGGATGGGAAGCACATAGTCACATGATAGAGAAAGTCTGCAAAACCGCATTTCCACCAATGTGGTGATGCGCTTGGACCTTGTTTGTGTGGTAGTATGACCATGTGGGTAACCAACGGCAGGGCGGGTGATCTTCAACGAGATTTTGGATGTGCTCGAAGAAGAGCCGATGGCTTCAGGCATTTTCCAGCTGGCGCGCCAGAAGAACCCTAGTTGCAAGATGTTGCAAGTCCCGAGAATTGCTTCTTTTGGCTGACGGCCTTCTCCCCGAGAGTGTGACCGTTTTGGCGTTACGTCGCATAGTGTCGCCATGAATCCTTGTGGGGCCTACTGAAAGAGACACCAAAATGGTCCCATGCTTCGATCGCGGAAGCAACATTGCTTAAGCGCAGGAAAAGCTAGGTTCTTGAAGGCGATCAGTGATGATCAGTGGTAACAAGAAGGTGATACATTCAGCAAGCTTCCCTACTTGAAGAAGTGTGATCCAAGACCAATGGAATTAAAGCTAAGAGAGTGTACCTGTCGAAATCCTTCACAGGTCTCCCAGCTTCCGTTTGCGTTGGTCTCATCACAACATCACTCACCCTTCCAGAAGCTTGGGTTGGAAGTCGGCGTGTGGTAGATCAGAAGGTCCCTTCATGATATTGCCAACCAATGAGCCTCAAATCACACAAGAAGTCTCCAACCCACCTAAATTGGGACTTTGCATCGCGGGCGGGACATGAGTCTTGCTTTCCCACGGGTCAAGACTCATCAAAACCAACCTGAACCGCGACACTTGTGAGCACTGGTGAACACTCATAGGTGCACAGATAGATGTGAATAGGGGTCCTGATTTCATGCTCCTCTTGAGGAACCTTTACCCTGGGCTCCTTCACAACTTGGGCCACTTGGACCTCCACGACTTGTCGCCGGGCGCTGCCGTGGCGGCGCTACGCTGGTGGCTCACAGACGCCCGCCCTGGACGGCACGAGCTGGTGGTGGGCCAGGGAAACAGCCGGAAGCCGTGGCGGGATGCCGATTTGAAGAGTGCCTTTGAGCAAATAGGCTGGTGGGAATCTTTTTGGGGTGGGGGTGGAGTCAAAATTAAAAGGAGCAAAAGAGACCAAAAGGGCGTTTGGTTTCCAAAGGAGAGTTTGGCACCTGCCCGAGCCACTTTTTTTATGTTTTTGTTTTTGCGTTTTGATGCCTGCCTGACCCGAAAAGAGGCAATTCTGCTGGTTTGACCTCGTTTGATCCAGCTCTGCAGGTCTATTTTCAGAAGGTAGTAAGCACTTGCTTTTACTCTTGGGGTGTTGTTTTTTCTTTTGTTCTATCATCTTCTATCGGCCCGAGAAAATGTGTCTTTACCCAATGGGTGATAGATGAACCATGATACACCCCATGTGCATTTAGGGAAGCATGGCCGCTTTAGTAACTCCAATGAATTCTGAAGTGCATTTCCAAGTAGGCAAGCTCAAGAACAAATTGGTTTGCCCGTCAGGTTAGTGCTAAGACACCCACCTTTAGTTCAGGTAAGTTGGTAGGCCCCACCAGACATCACGATACGACAGCATCGAGACAAACAGATTTAGCACAATCTACCTGTATGATAATGAGTATAAGGAGGATCTACTTGCCAGAACTGCCCTTTTCATGGCATGAGGCTTCTTTAGACCACATCTCTAATTCAGTGTTAGGTTTCAGATTTCGGGTGGAAGGAGACTGTCTCCATTGGTAAGCTGTGAAGTTAGGTCGACCCATAGGAACCAGACAAGCTTGGAGTTCGCTGACCCACTGCGAGGTGATGCTTGGGGTTGCAGACCTGACTCAAACAGGAGCAAAAGACCACCCCTTGATTACATAGCAACAATGAGCCAAGAAAGGTGTCATGATGCGTTGTGTCTTTAACTGTCCACCCTAAGCTCATCCCCTTAACTGCAGGGGTGGGGTGTTGGCCCGCCTGTCCGCCTAGTGACTAGTGTTCCACCCGGGGATTGAACCCGGGTCAGACGCATCAGGGAAGACCATGCGGGCTCTCAGGGTGTCATAGTTCTTTGGAGTGCAAAGATGTTTTGCAGCCCAGTGATTCTTCAAATCTGAGTTGCTAGCTGTGTGACTTGTTTCCAAGCTGCCTTGGCGGGATGTGCGCAGCTCAGTTGCTCTTCGGATGCGAAGATCGCCTTCCTTTCAGAAGGCCATGCCAACTTCCACATCGGCACACACACAGGAAAATCAATAGAAAAACAGCATGATTGAGCTGTAATCCCTTCCACCTATGTTGGCAGTTTTGTAATTAGCGTTTTTAAAGGGCAGTACGGCAGTACTTTAAAAACACATATAAACCGTATTTAGGGGGTTCCGACATGACTTGTTTCTAATTGGTGTACGTTTTCAAACAGGTAATGACAGCCAGACCCACCCAGGTGCAGTTCTGAAAGCTTTGCGGAAGCTGCAGATCAAGGTCCTCCAGTCGCCCAACCCTGGACGTATCCAGGTCGAGTTGCCAACCTCGGGAAGAGCGGTCGGAAGGAGAAAAGCGCAATGGGAACAGGGGGGTCATGCTGTCACTGCGCAGCAGCATAAGCAGATGTGTGAACTGGTCCGCAGACTGGCAGAGGAAGTCACCAATTGTTAATTAGTGTATTAATATTACAAGTTACTCATACCATCTCAATCCATCTCATACATTCTCAAAACATGGTTAAGATCAGGCAATCAATCAACATTTGGTACGGTAAAAGGATCTCAGCTGGAGTTCGATTCCAGACTCTCATGGGTGAAACCGCAACGATTTCCGCAATGCTACCGGCGACGTCTCCGCGGAGACGTCCCAGGTGACACCGGGGAACGTGGTCCGGGAGCCCGGTCCGGGAGAGGAGATCGCCGGTCCGACGTTTGTGCCGCCGTAAAACCGTCCATCCAGGACCCACTGAAATGAGGTCCGTTGGTGACCTGCTGAGTGTTGTCATTCCTTAACTGTTCACCTCAAAAAAACGGGTGAAGCTCATTGAAGCTCCTGACTCGATCATCTTGTTCGAGTCATAAACACGTGCAATTGCTGGTGTGGACATCCAGTTTACCGTACCCGGAACTGGTGGCACTGAGCAACCTACAGTATGTATCGGTGAGCACATCCTGTAGCTGGGACGAGGGTACGTCACCAGCACGTAGGGTGCACAAATCAGGCCACCATTGTGGACAAGATCACGGGCAGGTGCCGCCAGTGGGAGCTACTTGGTGTCAAAATTGGAATGATTTGGTGTGTTGGGATTTGGGATTTGGGTCAATACTCCTTAAATTGAGTCCAGTGATCCTGGACCAAATGGAATATGGAACATTCCATTGCTTGGTTTCTTACAGTCTGTCGGAACTTGACATGCACATGGTTTGTTTAAGATTTTTGCTGGGTGCACCGGTGAAGCTGCTTTCTTGTAGAATTGTGCAATGCAAATTTACCACCGATTCATCTCCGCAACAAGCGTTTGAGCCTCAACTCGTTAGTCCTTCGACCGTCTGAGTCCTGAAACAGCCCCTGACTTGGTAAAATTGGAGTGTCAAAAGGCCGGAATCCTGGATTTTTTGGGAAGGGTCAATGAATTGCCTATTGCCTATATTTGCCTATTGCCTTTGCGGTACTATTCTAATGTCCATGTTTCTGCAGAAATTTGTGGACCTTCCAAGATGACCATGTTCCTCTTCAAACCGGTTTTGGGGATCCATGTCTGGGGTTTAATCATTCCTGCTCCCTACTTGGAACGACCACATGTGATACAAGGCCTGAAATATGTTGTCAACAAGCCTGATGAGCAGAGATAGGAGATAGATAGAGTTTCGCATCTACAGTAGCAACCCGACCAGCCAAAGGTGTTCCTTGGATGGTCCAAGCGACCGAAGGGCTTGTTCACTAGCTTCGAGGCTTTTGAAATGAGATCTTCAGATCTCCATTTCTTGGCCCCTGGAAGCACCCCACTCCGTTGGGTCGGCATTGGCCAACCGCCCAAACGCTCTCCCAGCGCCCAGGAACGCGAAGAGCAAGTTTGATTGGTTGGCGACCTCGGCGGATGAGCCGGTCAGTGACCGACTGACCGAGTTTTTTTCAGGGGAGCGACTGGTGGTTTCAGAGATCCTAGATGTTCAACCTTTACTTGGGATGATGGAACCCACTGCCTAAGCACATGAGTTGAAAGCAAGCCAGCTCAAACATGGGTGGCAGTGGAACTTGGGATGCTTGCTGTGTAGGCAATGTGCTGGGTCCAGTTGGGGCCCATTGACCACCGTCATGTTAGAGGACCCATGGCCACCTTCGGAATCAGGGGCAGATACCTCAATCCTTGACCGGGCATTCACATGCAGTTGATGTTGCTGTTTTTTGCTAGCAGCTCGCTGGAATGCATGCGGAACCTTGAACTCCTCTTCTTCCCACCAGGCGGTGTGAGATGCCAAACCGGCAGGCCGACAATCAGTTGCGCCAAGGATTTGGAGTAAGGGCGCTTGGTCACCCCATCCTGCTTTGCGGAGGGTGGGTAGGCCAAACCAGAGGCTCGGCCATTCTTTCAGGCATTCAAGTGGCCAGGATTTTTTGGGGAGCATCAACTTTGCATAGAAGGTGCCGGTGATCCGTTCTGAGATGTTCTTGGATTCTGGATTCTGGACCTCAGGACTGCTTGTAATGACTTTTTGCATTTTCCACCCTGGTTTCGGCTCAGATCTCGATAGCGAATCTCCATGCCATGGTGTCATGGATGCCCAAAGTAGCTGCAGTGCCGCGGGCTCTGCAAGCCCGGGCTACGGCACCCGGGCTACGAATTCATTCGACTCAAGCAAGCTTCGGGGCCGAGCTTTGTGGAGAAGCTTCGGGCAGGTTTGGAATCGTAAGGGCCGGCTGTGATCCTTAATGGGAAGGGAAAGGGATCACCCACTTCAACATTAGCCTGGGAATCCGTGGGCTTGGTTACACTGGCGTTGAGGCCCAGAGGGATGTGGTGCCGAAGTTGCACGAAGCAGGGCAGGGTCACCAACGAAATTTCTTTGCAAAGCAGTTTGGCACAACCTTGTACAGGTTCATGATTCTATCTCGCGTACTAGCTGCCCCTAGGATCCCAACAAGAAAGCATTGTGACACTGTGACACTAGAGTCACCAGAGCCAAGCCACTGGGTGCTTTCTGAAAAAGTTGCCACTGCCCCTTGACTTGTTTGCTTGCCGCTTTGGGCCTTCAGTGGTGGCACCAAAAAGTGTTTTTGTATGATTCTTTAGTGAAAACAAGTGTTTTTGTATGATGTTTGTCTAAAATACAATGTTTCAACTGTTTTGGTGCCTTTTTGCATCGTTATGCGCAGTTTTGTTGTTTTGCGTGTTGTGGGGAATATGTAAGTGTTGTTTTTCCTCCTTTCGCCCAAAAAAACATGCCGCGCTTCAAAATCCTTGATTCCACCGATTGGCCTCAGAACGATGCATATCTTCAAAATATGCAGACATAGCAGGAAGAGGTATACAGGTCTTCTGACATAGTCGGAGTATATAGGTCCGCTGTATATAGTGACACGTGGGGTTTTGGAAAGCATCTCCCAGTCCTGGTCAGAAACAGGGACAACTGGGGCATACGGAATTGTCGGGCGCCCAACCCACGACTTTTCTTATGCCCAAGGTATACGCTGCCTATAGGCACACAGATTACAGGAGTATTAATGGTGGTTTATTTTTTATTTCAAGTATGCTCAATGATATTGAATTGAATGTTTTTTACACAATCCTTTCTTCTTTGATTCTTCCTGCCTGCAGAAGCCTCCGACTACAGGCACCTTAGTGTCTGGTAGCGGCTTGCCAGACCTCACCGAGCATCTCAAAGCCAATGGTATCTACGAGGCCTCTTGATCCGACCATCGGCGCCGTCCACGCCCGGCGGGTCCGAGCCGCTCCAGCGTTAGATCTCCACGAGTTTCTCTTCATTGCTCATCCAAGTCTCTGGTGTTTCATTGTGTGTGTTGTCAGGTGTTGTCAGGTGTTTATGTTTAAACATTTTGTAAGTTAATCAGGCTAATCAGGCACTGATCTTCACCAAGTGGGCATCCTTGATGGGAAGGGGCTTGGGGCTGTCCGAAATGTAGGCTCCCCCCTCAAACTCATTTTGTTTGATCTATTTTGTTCTTTTTCCAGTAAGTTTGGACTACATCCTATATTGGAGCCATATACCCAGAAATGCATTAGCTGCTTCTCAATATGTGTCATTTTGCGAAAGAACGGCCTTCTTCGGCCTTTTCCGAGTCTCCATTCGTTTTCTTGCTTTCTCCAGGAGTACCTGGCCTACCGGCGCGGGTATTTGGAGTGGCGCAGGGGCAGCGCAGTGGGAGCGCAAGGGGAACTCACAGCTGATGCGTTGGAGCAACAAACGCTGATGGATTCCGGTGTTTTGGCCAATTCGGGCGGTTAAAAGGTGGAGGGTTTGAAGAAAATAACATTGAAGGGACCTCTAGAGGTGCACCTAACCAATCCCAGACACCGTTTAAAACCAATGCATGTTAATGTGATTTTGTTGGGGCAATTCCTTGGTTCATCGTTGGAGGCTCACCCTGAACCGAACATTTTTGGTGAGAGGATGAGGATGGGCTGCGGCTAAATTTTGAAAGTAAGAATGCACCGAGACATTACCTTTTGGGGGGGTGGGACATGGGGGCCCAACCTCATGTGTGCCTTTCCTAGAAACGTCGTGCTTGTACAAACCGTTAGGCCACTGAACAGCTTCACTCACCTTTGCCCTTCCTTCATTATATAGTTAGATATTCATGTGAATTTGGAAGATCACCCCTCACATCCACTCACCCTCCATCCCTGCACAAAACGAAGGGCTAGGGATGGGAGCCACACCTGAGACTCTCAAATCTGTAATCATTCAGAGCACACGCGGCCGCGCTCGGCTGCGCCTCTTGGAGATCACACGCGGAAAACCGCGCTCCAAAACGCCTGCGCTTGAGGCTTCGAATATTGGTATCCCACTGCCTCCATTTTTCAGATGCGGTTCACCATTGCATATTGGATCTCAGCCACCTGGGCTTGGAAAACGGTAGCAACGGATGGACGAAGCGTTTGGTTCCTCACGGCGGGCGGAATGTGGGCCTAGAGAGGGGAGAAAGAGGACAGCAACAATCGAATCATGGATTCACCCCATCGAGGAGGTTATGTTTAGTTGTTTGTTATACTTTTTAGATATTGTTCTTTTGGATGATTGGTTTCTAGTTTCTTTTTCTTCCAATGGGAATGATGTCATTACCCACCCAACTGCAACTCTTGTCGCAGATGGAACTGGGTACCACGGCTTGTTCCAAAAAGGTGTTGAACATCCTTGAGCTAGTAACAATGTTAGCTACTAGGGGCTCCTGGCCTTACTACTAGGAGCAATGTTCGCTACTAGTAACAATAAAGCCTTCTGTTTATGAGCTCACATAATGTTGCTCCTGATTCCAGAAAACCAACCCTGCAGCTGGCCCTCTACAAGCCCTCCACGTGGCTTAAAAGCTGGGTGTTCCTGAACCGAAGGGTAGATGACAGTTCCTTCCGTCCACATGGAGATTTGATGACAATCCAATTTGCTGGGCGGATCATGTTTGTTGTTGGGAGGGTAAAAGCATGTAGAAACTCACTGTGATCAGAAACTTGTTGGAATCGGTTTCGAAGAGTATCTGTAGACAAAAGGTGTCCAAGATGACCTACCCTCCCTTTTCAATCATCATGGAAGTGGAGTGGTAAACCAGCTCTTTGGTATTCAGAATATGGTCAGCCGAACTCAGGGCCTAAGGGGCCATCCCATCCACTTCCATGATTCATGATTAGTTCAAGGAGATTAACTTATTTACACCTCGCAGCTCAGAGCTTCACAGCTGGGGGAGATCCATGATTTCCCTTTAAACAGGGAGCCGAGCAGCAGGTCTTCCAACCACTACTTGGCTGGTTAAAACGATTCATGCACCATTATCATGACTAGGCCATCATTCCCAGAACGTCCCAGAAACACAAGGAAGAGGCAGACTCCCCGATCCAAGACAGCAAGCTCACTAGTGCTTCAGTGTTCTTCTTCCATTTGGGGGTGAAAAGCCGCTGCCCAACCCAACTTGATGGGAGATGTTCCAAGATGTTCCAAGCAAGTTCTGGAGGTCAGCGCGTCCTTGGAGATGTACTCAAGGGGAAGAATGATTTGGCCAGGTGTGGAGTGTAAAACCAGACTTGGTTGAGCCAAAACCCATCAAGACCTGGGAGGCCCCCTTGGAACGGTGTCAACACCCGTTCCCCCGTGGCTCATTTGTGCTTTCAAGGTCATGTTTTTGCTTGGTTCCATCTTCTTCTGCGTCAATGCCTGCAATCGCATGCTACATAGCTACGGTGGTCGCGTGGTGATGGTTTGGCCGACACTTGGGCGCAAAAGTATGCAAAAGTCAGGTACCTGAAGGAGAGTAGAAATGACACATGATGTGTGGATATGTGTGGATATGATAGTATAGCGCGTGAGATTCCGAAAGCTCCACACATATTTGCACATCATGTGTCATTTCTACTCTCCTTCAGGTACCTGACTTTTGCACAATAGAATCCGCCTCAACCTTTTGGCTTCCAGCATCCTTTAGGGGGTGGTCGCATCATCGACCGAAGTTGCTGGGTGGGGAGCAAGGGATCACAACCAAGTGGTCCTACGCTTCTCCATTTTGTAAGCCGCCTGTTGTAGCAAGGGCATGCAAGAGGGAACATGCTTTGGAATGCAATCTTTAGAACATACAGATCACCTACCCAACAACCCTCGGCATAGGTCCGACTTGGTGGCTCTTGTGTATACATTCTGGCAATCGCACGTGCAAAGGTTCGTTTATTAGTGAGCGTAGCTTAACCATGCTTGCCCCATAGATGAACATATCCTGAGACCAATTCCCAAACGCAGACAATCAATCTCATTGAACTCATTTCCTGAGAACCGACATGAACCGAGTATCATGTTTTGACAATGTATCGTTGTTCAGACACTCCTTTGTGTTTTTGCAAGTAGAACCGCATGTTTTTGCCTTCTTAGGAATCTCTTCGGGGCATGCTGCTATATTGCTGGCTGTCCTTGGATGCACTGGCCAAACTGCAAAACGAAGCCTCACATTTGTCATTGTTGTGTATAATATTGTGCAGAAGTATGACACGTGCGAACCTTGTCGGGTTGAGAGGAGTCTGACATAAATAGTCATGGGTTTGTTCTGCTCATTTAAGAAGACATTCATCCACCCACCAAGCACACCAATCCTCAAGCAGATCTCCGTAAGCAGCTCATGTTGTGCCAATTGTTTTTTACTGTTCACTGTCCTGGCTGATCCCAGCGCCACGCTGGCGGTGGATTCCCATGCGCCAGCGTGGCGGCGGAGGATGTGTGCAACCCCTTCGCCCTTCCCCGGAAAACGAGAGCCGAAGAGATTGAACACGAAAAGACTGGTTTTGGAGTGAGATTTGGAGTGCACTGGGCCCGCAATCCCATTGTTTTGTTTAGGATTGGCGTCTTCAGGGGCCCATTTCAAGTTCTGTGTCAGTTGTTGGAGAGGCTCGGGTTTGTTGCTTCATGTTGCTTCGCATTTGAGTTCCGAGGCTATTTGATGTATTTGCAGCTCATCAACCTGCCAACGCGAAGGGCCGCTCAACCAGATAAACTCGAGTCCTTGTCCTTGTTCCATTGGAAAACCATATTTGGGGAGTTAAAGCAACGTGTTGTCTCCCCAGTATACGATGTATCGACTTCGGAAAGGAAACGAGCAAAGACAAGGGCACCCATTGGTAACCATTTCTATTCTCAAACAGATGCCCCATGGAACTCCCAGAGCGACCAGCTTGGGATCGCTGAACTCGCCTCCAAGATACTCGGAAGTCGCACATCATGCATGGTCACCCATGCTCCAGCACCAATATATGTTCATGGGTCATCCAATAAACATGGTTGGAAAAGCATGTTCTCCGGTCAATCCTTCGTGCCGAATTGTGGCGGCCAATCCAGCACTCGTTGGCGCCGCTCGCTCGTGACTCACCGAGCCAAGGTGGACTCCTTAAGGATCTTCTGTCCGGACTGGTCCAAGATCGGCGAACGCGTGAGCTCCCCTGCCAGCGTGGCCGGGCGGAAGGAAAAGGACGGAGGACGGGCGGAAAGACAGCTGGGCGAGTGCAACAGAAACACCCGAGAACCACACATGCAATATGTTGTATACATTTGTATACAGCATGTCCTACAGACTATATATTGTGTTGTAATATACAATATATGTATAACCATTTCCCCTGAACGCCGCAGTGTTGGAGATTCTCTCCGGTTGTCCAAGAGTGGAAGCAGTGGCACCGCACCAGCACACACAAAGGTTGCCCTCATCCATCAAGGCCAAGCTGCCGCATCAACGGGTGGAAGACCTGCAAATCGCTTGCAGTCGTTTGGTTTATCCCGGAATCCCTATTTCCATTTCTATCCCCTCAAGTGGACTTCCAGCAGTACCTCCTGGCGTAACTCGTCCGTCGGAACGAACTTCTCCCGTTCGGATTGTGGGGTGTCATCGAAATGGATGGAGAACTTTGCCAAGTGGCATCAAAATCGCTGGTGATGTTCGACACAGACTAGGCAGTTCTAGGTTTTCGCCCTCAGCATCCCTGTAGGTATCACACAGCTGTTGCTGAAGTTCTCACAGCTCAGGTGGGCACCACCTCTTTCCTTATCGGTGCATCACTCTTCCAAGTTTCATGCATTGCTGACGCGCCCGGGCGGCGGAAACGGTTGGATCGGAGGGGTCCGGCATAGGACCCTTACTGTACCGGGTCCGTTCGAACCCGGCAGAAAATGACTCCAGCTTAAGGTGGACGTGGTTCTAGAGGAAAGTGGCCTTCCAAGGGCGAATCTTCACTTTCATGTGAATGAGAGTCAGAGGAAACAACAGGGCGATTCTTACTCGTTCTAGAGTCCTTTGGGTTTAGTTCCAAAGGAACTTGGTTTCTTCATGTTTCTTCCCCGGACAAAAGGCTAAAGGATTCGAAGCGGCATGGTCGAAATCCAAGACCCGCGCATTGTCATGTTGTCGCCTGGGTTGAGATTGAATGGGTGTTTTGGTGCAGCAAACCCCCACGATAGTGACTTCAAACATGTTCAAAATGTTGAAAATCCCAAGTAGCTTGAAACTTGTAATTGAGTAGAACCAGCACAGGTGAGCCTGGACCGTTGGGAAGACCAACCAATGGTCTTTTACGCCCGATAGTTGCTATCTTCCTCGGAGAAAACCTCCCTCTGAAAGTTTGCTCGAGCCCGACCTGGCTCAGTTGTGGGAAGCTCCGTCGCCGATGTTTGAGTACACTGTCATCAGTCAGGAGCTCGGAGGGCGATGGTCATCAGTCAGGAGCGTCCAAAGAAACCTTGCAATACATGGATATATATATATATATTACATATATAGACTAGATGTATGTAAAAGTGTATACATATTGACATATTGGAAGGGATGGTACTTAGACATTTCCGCTGCGCGCATGTTGGGCTTTGGCTGGGCTATGTAGGGCATTCACATCACCCCTTCAGGTTCGCTGAGAAGTTCGACATCGGGACGTCGAGATTTGCCGAACCTCCTCGCTGAGGTTTGCCGAACTTCCTGGGCAGCGTCCTCTTCGTGGTGGGTGGCGCTTGTGAGGTGCTGATCAACCGTGCTTTGGTTGAAGGAGTTGATGTGCCGGTTGGCTGGATGTTGGGTTGCTTGTTTTGGGTGGGGGAGTGGCCAAAAGGTAGGGTTGTGCGATGTGGACTGCGCATGATTGATTGCAGTCCAAGTGGTAGGAATGACTCAAGTGCCATGGTAGGAGGACACGATCTCATCAGTCCTTCAAGTCGCGTCATTGATGCGACTTTCCCCGACGACACATGGTGCCTTGGATGACACATCCCACAAGTACAAGTTTGCTACCCCAACCGGCCAAGCACAAAGGCAGACTGTTTCTTTGGAGCATAGTGTGAACAAGGGAGGTTTCTTTGGGGGGCACTAGTCACCACTCAACACCGTGACAAGAGAGCATTTTCTCTCGGGGACAAATCTGTACAGGTCGGCTCTATGGTTGGTCACAAGAATGTCCATACTTTGGATCATTTAGCATTTTTTGACCTAGAAGAGTATGTCCATGACAGGGGTTCTCACAGGGAGCACATGATAGTTCTTCGAGTGACGATTGCTTGGTGCTTGCAACCCGTTTGGTCGGCACCATGTTGGCACAGAAACAAGTTGGACGACAGGTACCCCTCCAACCCCCACTTCTTGTGCCTGTGATTGATGATACGTGAAAGGCATCAACTTCGTTTTATTTTTCAAATCCGCTGGATTTGCCAAGGACATACCACTCCTGGCTCTGATGAAACTGCTTGGTGCCGCAGCTGCACGAGAATTGACCAAGCTTGATACCTGACCTTTGCTACCTATGGCGCCCCTTTCATTGATTGTAAAGTGCCTCCCTATGGCACAGTCAAAAAAAAGCATTTCAACAAGACCAACTTCCCCTTTTCGGGTGTTGTTTGTCAAGCTTTCGGGTGGTTTGCCTGTTGAGATGATGTCCCATGGGGTGGCCCACCATTTCGTGCAAGGCTGCTGGTAGGTTGGTAGGGTATTTTGTTGCAATTATTCTTGATGTTACGCTCCTTGAATCAATCATGAATCAATCATGGTATCCAAGGGGCCATTTGCCATGTTCTTGATTATTCAAGTGCATTGTTGTGTTTGATTGATTTGTTTCTTTGCTGTTTAAATGTGTTTGTTGTGGTAGTGGTTGGCTCTTTGCCTGGACGTTCTACCCAGAATTCCGCCAACACCAAAACACTATTGGAGGTTTTCCTTCAGATCCTCCTGTAGATATCCGTATCATTTCCTAGGGTTTGTCCCATTACCTGTAACAGTCAGTAAAATATTACAACTATTTTTGGACAAGGCCTCTACCTAACCATCACCATCCACTGTTACAGGTAATAGGATAGACCCAATCATTGGTTGGACCAACCAAAAGCTACAAGCTACTCACCCATGGCTGGTGGTGCTGTCAAAGCCTTTCCCCATCCACAGGGTGGCGTCCTGGTTCACTTTACTGGGCTCCATCTTCTTCACGGTGGCTGCAGTGCCTCCCATGGAGCCTCGGCGTGTCGCCTTTGTTAAACACATACTATATGCACATAGATGCATCTAGTATTATATATTTGTTGTATATATGAATGTATTTGACCTCTCTTTTGACGGGAAAGGCATGGAAGGCCATATTTTATCATGTCTTGACTGGTTGGTGGTCCAAAATAGAGGTCGCTAAGCCTCACCCCGGATCATTCGGATGCTGAGATCCCTGCCTGGTCGTCCGTGCCCCTGGTCACCGACATGGGCGCGGGAGCCTGGAAAAGGATGGACAAAGGATCGCATTTTGGGGCGGGGAGAGGCCCGCTCGGAGCTGGGAGCACCGGAATTCCATTCCCAGGTTCGTCAGGTCCCAAAATGGTGGCACAACAACGTTTTCCAGGGGGTGAAGATGTGAAGAACTGAAGGGTCCCGGCGGGTTTACCTCCAAAAAGCACTTCCTCTCATGGTAAAGTGGTGCCAGATGCCGAGAGCTGAAATGTGGGAGGCATAGATAGTAAGCAATCATTGCCACTCTTTGGCTTGCTTCCACTATTTATTGCTTTAGTGCCATATCCGCGATGCCAAAGAAGTTGCGTGACTTGTGTTGGCAATGCTGAGGCTACTTTCTGGGTGCATTCTTCTTCGCCATCAATGCGGTGTTGCTTCTCCTTCTGTGGCTACTTGGAGTTGGTTTGGTGCTGCAAGTCAAGTTGAAATCCAATGCACAAACAGTACAATCTTAGATTTGTGGCTCCAAGTGGTCAAGTGCTATCGAGCTGGCCATTGAGCATCATTAGTTTCAACATATGTAAACCTTGTAGCAGGTTTTGTACTAAGATAGTTTTTTGTACTTGACACTCTAGCCCAATAAATCATACAATACACGCATATGACCATTCCTGAGAAAGCTCACTAAGCTAAAACAAACAAACACACACACACGCACCAAACTCGCACCCCGATGGCGAGCCGTGGCACCTTTCCACGCCCACGTGGACACCGTCATGCGCGTCTTTTCGCAGTGCTTGGGTTGTTGAGCCTGGGGACTGCGTGGAGCTTCGCCAGCTTCGCCCGAGCAAGCTCTGTTGGAGCCAGGGCCACCGAAGGAACCACCTCGTCGAGCACGACCACCCTGAAGGACGACTTGCTGAAGCGTTGTGAGGACTTCAAGCAGAAGCAGACTGAGATGTGGGACCTCATGGATGATGAAGCGGAGACGGAGAAAGTGAAGAAGTCCAAAAAAAAGGACAGAGGGGCAGTGCAAAGGTCCATGATCCAGGTATCTTTTGATCACACTCACAGTGATGGCAGCAACTTGTTCAGTCACCATACCTTACCCCCCCCCCCACCAAAAAAAAACATAAAGGAACATATAAGGTGATTCAACCTTGAAAATCCTTTGACTCTCGTCTTTTCAGACTTCAACAGGCTCCTTCGACTGAACAGGCTCCTTCGGCTGGGTTTATGTTGAAATCCATCCACCCATGTGCTTCTTTGCATCCGCAAGGACAAGGCTTCGCTCCTGGAAGCGGAGAGCTTCGCTGCGCAGCGGGTGCAGCTGAGTGATGAGCTGCAGGAGCTTCGGGCGAAGTGCGTGGAGGTCATTGAAGAGTTGGCAGAGAAGAACCCCACGGCGCAGCCCACCATTGGTTGGAGGCGGGCGTTCCAGATGGCTAAGCCCGGGTTTGTGTCAGATGCGGTTCTTTTGGGTCAGGGTCTTGGGAGAGGGATAGGGGTTGCGGACCAGGTGGCAGGTTGAAAGCCAGTCAGATTTATCGGGATGATTGCTAATACACCTGAGAAGATAGACTTACTGTAAGTGGTGGTAGCTACCACCAGGGAACAGCCATGATTGGTTTCGACCGAATCCAGTTGCAACTGGGTTTCTGGTGTTTCAAGAGCAACAGGGGTTATGCTGGAGAGCCGCCCAAGAACAGCCCGTTGAATGGAACTTGGGAGCTGCTCTTCACAGATGCAGCGGATGCCACCTTCAAAAAAGGCAAGCGGGGCTCGGCCAAGACCTTTCAGGAAATCGATGCGGAGCTTGGATGGTTTATCAATTGCGTGGACTTCTCGAACGAAAAGAGCAACAGGGATGATACTATGGCGGTCGTACATTTGTTGCACAAGTTAAGCTCAGTAGCATCAAACGTCAAAACAAAGAACTTGGAAGTTGGTTCAGCGAGTTGAAGCCGAAACGAAGCGGACCAACACCTACCGTACCATCCCGTGGACGTCTCACCGGCCCAGCACATGTGAGGCAAACTTCGAGGCTTCAGGGTGTTTGTGGAGGGCAAGGCCTTGAGCGACGATGAGATTGAGCTGATATTCCGCACTTGGGCATTGATGATTTGGATCACTGTTTTTCTAAAGGACTGTGAACAAAGGTCCGCCAAGTAATCTTACATATATATTATATATTATATATTGATATACCCTCGAAGTCGACCAACCATTCATTAAGCAGCCTTTACCGAACATCCATTGTTTCACTATAAAGATCTATAAAGGATATATACTAAAGGATGTTGCACTACAAGACTACATCAGCCATTTAATGGTCTTGGACTTCGCAAGGTTTTTTAGAACAAGAAAGAATGGTTTCGAGTTTTCAGATCGATTCAGACCGGAGTGTGCTGGCATGCAAATGTCTTGTGGACGGTGCACACATAGACCATAGCATGAGAGCCCTGTGCTGGTGTATGAAGGATTTCAGCCCTACTACTCACTACTCATACAACCTGCCAGAGGTTAAACCCTGACAGCAGGGGGGAGAACACGCAAGATGACAGAAAACACACGTCATATATGTGCCAGTGTGGTTTCTGGGTCATTCAGTTCATTGTATGTTGAACTCTCCACCTGTCAAACCCCGTCAGCGTCCCACGTCGATGCGAGGCAAGGTGCGGCTCCTGCGGCGTTCACGCTTTTTGCCCGAGATCACCATTCCCCTGCCTGGCCCGGGCCTTTTGCGGGCCATCGGACGGCTGTTCGCCCGCTCCAAGGGAGGCAAGGTGAATGAAAGCAATCGGGGTGCTGGGCTCCATGGCGCAAGGGCAAAGGAAGTCATTTCATCACGGTCATTGCGAAATCCAAGACTTGCCAAACAAAGAGGTGAAGAAGGTGTATTTGCCAGGTTTACCGTAATTCCTTTCATGATCTTTGGGGGGTTCCTGGTCATCGCATTAATCTTTGTGGCAGACGGAGTTGCTTCCTTTAGCTTTCCAGAGTGCACCTCAGGTTCAAGTTGCTTTATGTGGACGATGACCTCCGGATGCACAAGACCTTTGACGGCCTTTACTTCGTACAGCGACGCCTGCATTGAGCAGTTCTGATCGCCATGGGGTGGTCAAACATGTCAAAACTGCTTATATATACCTATGGGGCCACATTCTGTCACACAAAACCCTATATGCCATGCCGCTTCTAGGAAAACTCTTTGATCATCCCTCATAGTTTTCGGTGCCGTTAGGTGTTTAACTATTTTGTGAGCTTCTCTCTATGAGGTCCGGTCAATGACATGTGGATTTTTGTTTGAATCGGTGCACTTCACCGGGGCGGTGCAAGCGGTTTCCTCGGTGGAAGAAGGAAACCCCATGTAATCAAGATCAGCTAGGTCAGGAGCTAGATCACTAGGATTTGGGGTGCAGGTAGAATCCACGACATTCCTGTTCGGAGGACGTGCAGCTCTAGTAGAATCCACGCGCCCTTTGACCGTGGCTCATGTTGAGGTTCTTGGAGAGGAGAATTTTATTCCGGCACCAGGTACAGAGAGCCAAAAGGACAGAACAATTGGTATAGCGACTTCGCGAAAAGAAGGATGGAACCGTCCATGAGCTTTGCGGAGGGAACGTGAGGGAACTAGGTTTTGAAGGGACGCCTGTGGAACCGACACCACCAGCTACGAGACCATCAGCTTTCCCGCGCCACTCCTGACATCATCTCAGCGGAAACCCAGCGGTTTTGTCTTAGTCTTGAGATCACACGCTGGACCCTTACATTACAATCCAAGATCCAAGAACTTGGGAATGCATTGGATTGCTTCAGGCCATACCTACCCAGATTGCACACGAGGTGAAAGTACTTCCAGAGAATGGTCTTAGGGGCCAAAGGCAAGGACATCCTCAAGATGGTCCTGGGCCCTAGGGCTTAGAAAAACATGTTTGCCCGGTCGTGTTTGGAAGAGGGTGCTACGGAGCGCAGTGGGAACAGAACTCCACCAGGCCTCCGGTTTCGGGTGAAATGAGCAAAGAAGTAATAGGAGGATTAAATGCATTCTGCCAAGCGAATCTGGAGCAGAAGATAGCAGAAGTAGATGTTGAACATTAGGATGCCCAACTATTAGATGTGTTGGATTTGCTTGGGGTTCTTTCAAGTAGAGTGCAAACAATACCAACTAGTTCAACAGAACCTTTTGGAAGTCCAAATTCATCCACATTTGGCATCCGTTCATCGATGAGTCACGTGGCCTTGGCTGCACCGGTCAGCACCCAGCAACCCGTGGCCTTTGTGATAACGACCAGCCGCTGGTCTTTGGAATGCGAACCACGACAAAGGTAGGCCAGGTTGGGTATGAGACGCCATGTCTTTTACAGAGCTAATTATATATATATATATATTCTTATCAATATACAAATATCTATATATGCGTGTGTTTGTTGTAGGAACTCTTTTAATCATATCAGGGTGCCTCCATTCTTGGATGTGCTGAGTAGCTCCCCTCATGACCAAGTCCTCGTCATCAGATCCGATCTGGGGTGGTTTTGCCCGACACACTTCAACCCACCCAGGGAGGCAGATGATTTCGGGCTCACCATGCTGAAGCCGCTGAACCGTGTCACCGATGTCGCTTGCTTGAAGGGAACCGGGAACCCGTCATGTGGGGTCATGCAGCCAGCCGCTCACAAGAACACACTCCAGAGCTTGACAGATCAACATCGATGATTCTAGATTACTATACTTTTGTTTACAGAATTTGTTATATATTTTTTGGTGGGTTCCACCCTGTGGGGTGCAGGGTTTTGAGAGTTGTGACCCACATCCAAACGCCCAATGAGCCTGGTGCGGGCCGGTGGAGTTGATTGTTGGCTCGGTCAAACGGGGGGTCTTTCAATACACACCACTAGACCAGGCCCTGAACATGAGAGATGATACAGACTTGAACTGTCAAAGCGTCCAAAGAAGTGAGGTCAGGTGTGCAGATGACCAGGTCGCATTTAATGGCTCGTGTGTTTCCAGCAGGAACTAGAATACTGGAACTTGGAAGATTATTGAGGTCTTGAAGCTCCTCACTACTACGCATGACGTTTTTTTGTTGTTGCTGGCCCACCTGCGGTAGCTGCCCACCTGCGGAACCCACGTGGATCGTTGATTTCGGCACCCGGTCCCAGGTGTCCCGTGACACGACTGGAAAGATGCCACGTGGCCATGAACTGTGCCGTGTTGTCTTCCCACAGGATCCAGGCGCATCCAAATACCATCACACAGGATCTTAATGTTTTTGTATGTCTTCGTGTAGTGTCGTGTTGTCTTCCCACCAGGATCGAATACCATCAATGACCTAACGCGAGATCCCCAAGTGCAAAGCTGCTGCTTAAATCCCAAAGATACCGGTGGTGTCGTTGATGTTTGCTTTGGGAAGTCCAGGGTTTCCACGGCTGGCTCTGATCATTAGCTTCGGTCCGGTGACGTGGTCGGGTGTGGTGAAGCCGGTGCATGGGCACTTGGCTTGATGAATGACCACTGGAGGTTTCCATTGGATCTTTCTGTGCACCCTAAGAGTCAAGGACCCTGAAAGGCATGAAGGCTTTGAGTGTCCAACCCCCTAGCTATGCAGGCTGAAACCCCTCCATAGGAGGGTCCGGAAGGGTGGTGGTTGTTGGAGAATTCAGGGTGATGTAACTACCATGACCGACCCATGGGCTGCCCGTTACGGTGATCAAACCAGGCGTCCATTTCGCATGATTTCACGTCATAGCCCTCAAGATACTGCATGACCCATGAGTCATTGAAACAATGCAGTGTTGGGAGCTTTGGTGCCAACTTACCCACGGTGACTTGGTGCGAACGAACACCGCCACCGACACCAAAAGAAACCATTAAGGATTGCGGTCGTGCCAGAGTCGAAGATGAGCATCCGCATCTTGGGTAGATCTATTTGTTTCGGAGAGAGTAGTGCTGGTTTGGAGCACTGTTGTCTCAACATAGCAAGGAGTTTCAGGAGAATGGACTCACCAAAGCCCAACAATAGAACATGGTCTTTTGGGCGGCACTGTTTATTCATCCAAGAGGGGGTTTTGATTACTATACTATAACTTACTATACTGTGTAATTATGTATATAATTGTATATATATATATACTATGCATGTATATGTAGCAATGCTGGATCAGTGTGTTTTTGCGGGATGAATCTGAAGAATCATGAAGAATCACAACATTCTTCGTCGGCTTCCTTGGACGTTTCGTGGAGTGGTGGGCCAGTAGCTGCTGGAGCAGCACCTGAAGAAAAGGTACTCCAACGCCCACTTGGTGGAAAAAAACAACTTTTCCGGTCAGGAAACGTTTATTTTTATTATGTGTTCTTCCCGCATCCGGGGGTTCGGTTGCGGTCCGGTTCCGACATAAGTGCTTCGGTATAGTGCGTACCGGTTCGGTACCGGTACCGGCTTCCCCTTCGGTTCGGCTCGCATGGATGTTACAAGGCACCCCAATTTCAAAGGTTAACCCTTTTTTCACATCAAAAGACCTCGTTCATTCAAAAGGTTTACGGCCCATCTCAACTGAAGATTGAGTCATGCATCCACTCAGGCTTTCCCCATGCAGGATATATGAACTGTTTGTCTATGACAGAATATCAGTCCACCAACATGTAGAACGTACATCATGAAAGGCAAAACGTCACTGTTACAGCGGTGCTGGGTGTTTTGATCTGGGTTAGCCTAAGGAGATGTGAGCTTCATCACGGTCTACTGCTGGTTTATTGCTATGGCAGTGTTGGACTGCATCATCAAGGACTGGATAATGCGGATTTGCGTTCACTCCTTGGAAATAATCATGGAAGTGGAGTCTACCACCTATTTGTAGGGGACTTCATGGACATCCGGTTGACTTTTTGTACGCCTAGAAAAAGTGCCTAGAAGAACATTGGGTCATGGATTGGTGTCGGTTCTGTTCTTGTCGTTGTTTGGGTTCCCACCAGCTGCTGGAGCAGCGTGTCCACTCAGACTTTACTGCCAACATACATGGGGATGAAATGTGTAAAGCAATGTGCTTTGTGGTACTGTTGTTTACAATGTTCTTTCTTTCAGCCATGTGCTTTGTTTTCTAATGCAGGGAGGCACATTTGATCATTGCCCCTTGGGCACGCTCCGGGCAGAGTGGCTGAGCCCATGGCTGGCACGTCGGTTGACCAGGAGGGTTCCTTTTCTCCTCAACAAATCGTCCAAACATCAGGATGAATGGTACAAGCAAGGCTTCTATCGGAGTGGATTGCTCCTTTGGACAGGCTGGTCGCAGCTGTGCCGGTCTCGCCAGATTGTGAAACTACGTAAAGGCGGAGGATGATGCTCCAAGCGGTGGAATCTCGCAGGGGATGCTGAGGAGGTGCCGATGACATTTCAGTCAAACCCGAAGGAGGTCATTGTGGACCTATAGGCAGGATCTATGGGGATGGTTCCTAAATCTACACCATACATGAAGCACCTGGGGCAAAGGGATGTATATACTAGCATATACTATGCATGCTGCAGTTATGCATGCATTTACTTTATAGATATGATCACCCAGTTGTTTCTCTCAATGTGTTCAGCCACGAGATTTGTCAGGATCAACCTTGTGTTGAATTAGGTTCAGGGACAGAGTAGTCAGAGTAGATTGTGCTTGGACCACAAGGGTCAAGGGGCTTTGTTTTCCGACGCCTCTATCATCCCAAACCAACCCTTTGGAGCCTTTTTAGTGCCCCCCCCTTCATGAAGGATCCTATCAGCCATCATCTAACTGTTCCCAGGGTCTTCCCCCCGGGACTCGGCCGGTGGATGCGTTGGTTGGAAGGTCTCGGGATGCAGATCTTTGTTGTGATTGTGGCTGGGAGCTCAGCTGGCAGGAGCTGCGCCCAAAGACCACGTCGACGTGGGTCGCAAGAGCCGCAAGTATCCAAAGTCCGGCAGGGGAGCAGTAGCATTGATCATTAAACATCAGCATTTTCTGTGGATGGGCAACTGACCCGGAGCCCATGTTTCAACATGACTATGTGCACAATGCCAGTGATTGGGACCGTTTGGAGTTGTTGTAGCTCATGAGCGTACAGATTGTGGACCTGGACGAGCGCTACCTTATTTTAACGGAACAGGTCAGAGAAAGTTCGACCAGATCTCAGTTGGTGTGGGATTT